CTCTCGTCTCGCTCATCTCTCTCGTCGCGTTCATCTCTCTCATCTCTCTAGTCTCTCTCGTCTCGCTCATCTCGCTCATCTCTCTCGTCTCGATCATCTCTCTCGTCTCGCTCATCTCTCTCATTTCGCTCATCTCGTCATCTCTCTCGTCTCGCTCATCTCTCTCGTCTCGCTCATCTCTCTCGTCTCGCTCATCTCTCTCGTCTCGCTCATCTCTCTCGTCTCGCTCATCTCTCTCGTCTCGCTCATCTCTCTCGTCTCGCTCATCTCTCTCGTTTCGCTCATCTCTCTCGTCTCGCTCATCTCTCTCGTCTCGCTCATCTCTCTTGTCTCGCTCATCTCTCTCATCTCGCTCATCCCTCTCGTCTCGCTCATCTCTCTCGTCTCGCCCATCTCTCTCGTCTTGCTCATCTCTCTCGTCTTGCTCATCCCTCTCGTCTCGCTCATCTCTCTCGTCTCGCTCATCTCTCTCGTCTCGCCCCTCTCTCTCGTCTCGATCATCTCTCTCGTCTCGCTCATCTCTCTCGTTTTGATCATCTCTCTCGTCTCGCTCATCTCTCTCATCTCTCTCGTTTCGCTCATCTCGCTCATCTCTCTCGTCTCGCTCATCTCTCTCGTCTCGCTCATCTCTCTCGTCTCGCTCATCTCTCTCGTCGCGTTCATCTCTCTCATCTCTCTAGTCTCTCTCGTCGCGTTCATCTCTCTAATCTCTCTAGTCTCGCTCATCTCTCTCGTCTCGCTCATCTCTCTCGTTTCCCTCATCTCTCTCGTCTCGCTCATCTCTCTCGTCTCGCTCATCTCTCTCGTCTCGCTCATCTCTCTCGTCTCGCTCATCTCTCTCGTTTCGCTCATCTCTCTCGTCTCACTCATCTCTCTCGTCTCGCTCATCTCTCTCGTCTCGCTCATCTCTCTCGTCTCGCTCATCTCTCGCGCCTCGCTCATCTCTCTCGTCTCGCTCATCCCTCTCGTCTCGCTCATCTCTCTCGTCTCGCTCATCTCTCTCGTCTCGCTCATCTCTCTCGTCTCGCTCATCTCTCTTGTCTTGCTCATCCCTCTCGTCTCGCTCATCTCTCTCGTCTTGCTCATCCCTCTCGTCTTGCTCATCTCTCTCGTCTCGCTCATCGCTCTCGTCGCGTTCATCTCTCTCGTCTCGATCATCTCTCTCGTCTCGCTCATCTCTCTCGTCGCGTTCATCTCTCTCATCTCTCTAGTCTCTCTCGTCTCGCTCATCTCGCTCATCTCTCTCGTCTCGATCATCTCTCTCGTCTCGCTCATCTCTCTCATTTCGCTCATCTCGCTCATCTCTCTCGTCTCGCTCATCTCTCTCGTCTCGCTCATCTCTCTCGTCTCGCTCATCTCTCTCGTCTCGCTCATCTCTCTTGTCTCGCTCATCTCTCTCGTCTCGCTCATCTCTCTCGTTTCGCTCATCTCTCTCGTCTCGCTCATCTCTCTCGTCTCGCTCATCTCTCTCGTCTCGCTCATCTCTCTCATCTCGCTCATCCCTCTCGTCTCGCTCATCTCTCTCGTCTCGCCCATCTCTCTCGTCTTGCTCATCTCTCTCGTCTTGCTCATCCCTCTCGTCTCGCTCATCTCTCTCGTCTCGCTCATCTCTCTCGTCTCGCCCCTCTCTCTCGTCTCGATCATCTCTCTCGTCTCGCTCATCTCTCTCGTTTTGATCATCTCTCTCGTCTCGCTCATCTCTCTCATCTCTCTCGTTTCGCTCATCTCGCTCATCTCTCTCGTTTCGCTCATCTCTCTCGTCTCGCTCATCTCTCTCGTTTCGATCATCTCTCTCGTCTCGCTCATCTCTCTCGTCTCGCTCATCTCTCTCGTCTCGCTCATCTCTCTCGTTTCGCTCATCTCTCTCGTCTCGCTCATCTCTCTCGTCTCACTCATCTCTCTCGTCTCGCTCATCTCTCTCATCTCGCTCATCCCTCTCGTCTCGCTCATCTCTCTCGTCTCGCTCATCTCTCGTCTCCCTCATTTCGCTCATCTCTCTCGTCTCGCTCATCTCTCGTCTCCCTCATTTCGCTCATCTGTCTCGTCTCGCTCATCTCTCTCATCTCGCTCATCCCTCTCGTCTCGCTCATCTCTCTCGTCTCGCTCATCTCTCTCATCTCGCTCATCCCTCTCGTCTCGCTCATCTCTCTCGTCTCGCTCATCTCTCGTCTCCCTCATTTTGCTCATCCCTCTCGTCTCGCTCATCCTTCTCGTCTCGCTCATCCTTCTCGTCTCGCTCATCTCTCTCGTCTCGCTCATCTCTCTCGTCTCGCTCATCTCTCTCGTTTCGCTCATCTCTCTCGTTTCGCTCATCTCTCTCGTCTCACTCATCTCTCTCGTCTCGCTCATCTCTCTCGTCTCGCTCATCTCTCTCGTCTCGCTCATCTCTCTCGCCTCGCTCATCTCTCTCGTCTCGCTCATCCCTCTCGTCTCGCTCATCTCTCTCGTCTCGCTCATCTCTCTCGTCTCGCTCATCTCTCTCGTCTCGCTCATCTCTCTCGTTTCGCTCATCTCTCTCGTCTCGCTCATCCCTCTCGTCTCACTCATCTCTCTTGTCTTGCTCATCCCTCTCGTCTCGCTCATCTCTCTCGTTTCGCTCATCTCTCTCGTCTCGCTCATCTCTCTCGTCTCGCTCATCTCTCTCGTCTCGCTCATCTCTCTCATCTCGCTCATCCCTCTCGTCTCGCTCATCTCTCTCGTCTCGCTCATCTCTCGTCTCCCTCATTTCGCTCATCTCTTTCGTCTCGCTCATCTCTTGTCTCCCTCATTTCGCTCATCTCTCTCGTCTCGCTCATCTCTCTCATCTCGCTCATCCCTCTCGTCTCGCTCATCTCTCTCGTCTCGCTCATCTCTCGTCTCCCTCATTTTGCTCATCCCTCTCGTCTCGCTCATCCTTCTCGTCTCCCTCATTTTGCTCATCCCTCTCGTCTCGCTCATCTCTCTCGTCTCGCTCATCTCTCTCGTTTCGCTCATCTCTCTCGTTTCGCTCATCTCTCTCGTCTCGCTCATCTCTCTCGTCTCGCTCATCTCTCTCGTCTCGCTCATCTCTCTCGTCTCGCTCATCTCTCTCGCCTCGCTCATCTCTCTCGTCTCGCTCATCCCTCTCGTCTCGCTCATCTCTCTCGTCTCGCTCATCTCTCTCGTCTCGCTCATCTCTCTCGTCTCGCTCATCTCTCTCGTTTCGCTCATCTCTCTCGTCTCGCTCATCCCTCTCGTCTCACTCATCTCTCTTGTCTTGCTCATCCCTCTCGTCTCGCTCATCTCTCTCGTCTTGCTCATCCCTCTCGTCTCGCTCATCCCTCTCGTCTCGCTCATCTCTCTCGTCTCGCTCATCTCTCTCGTCTCGCCCCTCTCTCTCGTCTCGATCATCTCTCTCGTCTCGCTCATCTCTCTCGTCGCGTTCATCTCTCTCATCTCTCTAATCTCTCTCGTCTCGCTCATCTCGCTCATCTCGCTCATCTCTCTCGTCTCGATCATCTCTCTCGTCTCGCTCATCTCTCTCGTTTCGCTCATCTCGCTCATCTCTCTCGTCTCGCTCATCTCTCTCGTCTCGCTCATCTCTCTCGTCTCGCTCATCTCTCTCGTCTCGCTCATCTCTCTCGTCTCGCTCATCTCTCTCGTCTCGCTCATCTCTCTCGTCTCGCTCATCTCTCTCGTCTCGCTCATCTCTCTCATCTCGCTCATCCCTCTCGTCTCGCTCATCTCTCTCGTCTCGCTCATCTCTCGTCTCCCTCATTTCGCTCATCTCTCTCGTCTCGCTCATCTCTCGTCTCCCTCATTTCGCTCATCTCTCTCGTCTTGCTCATCCCTCTCGTCTCGCTCATCTCTCTCATCTCGCTCATCCCTCTCGTCTCGCTCATCTCTCTCGTCTCGCTCATCTCTCTCATCTCGCTCATCCCTCTCGTCTCGCTCATCTCTCTCCTCTCGCTCATCTCTCTCCTCTCGCTCATCTCTCGTCTCCCTCATTTCGCTCATCCCTCTCGTCTCGCTCATCTCTCGTCTCCCTCATTTCGCTCATCTCTCTCGTCTCGCTCATCTCTCTCGTCTCGCTCATCTCTCTCGTTTCGCTCATCTCTCTCGTCTCGCTCATCTCTCTCATCTCGCTCATCTCTCTCGTCTCGCTCATCTCTCTCGTCTCGCTCATCCCTCTCGTCTTGCTCATCTCTCTCGTCTCGCTCATCTCTCTCGTCTCGCTCATCTCTCGTCTCCCTCATTTCGCTCATCTCTCTCGTCTCGCTCATCTCTCTTGTCTCGCTCATCTCTCTCGTTTCGCTCATTTCTCTCGTCTCGCTCATCTCTCTCGTCTCGCCCATCTCTCTCGTCTTGCTCATCTCTCTCGTCTTGCTCATCCCTCTCGTCTCGCTCATCTCTCTCGTCTCGCTCATCTCTCTCGTCTCGCCCCTCTCTCTCGTCTCGATCATCTCTCTCGTCTCGCTCATCTCTCTCGTTTTGATCATCTCTCTCGTCTCGCTCATCTCTCTCATCTCTCTCGTTTCGCTCATCTCGCTCATCTCTCTCGTCTCGCTCATCTCTCTCGTCTCGCTCATCTCTCTCGTTTCGATCATCTCTCTCGTCTCGCTCATCTCTCTCGTCTCGCTCATCTCTCTCGTCTCGCTCATCTCTCTCGTCTCGCTCATCTCTCTCGTTTCGCTCATCTCTCTCGTCTCGCTCATCTCTCTCGTCTCGCTCATCTCTCTCGTCTCGCTCATCTCTCTCATCTCGCTCATCCTCTCGTCTCGCTCATCTCTCTCGTCTCGCTCATCTCTCGTCTCCCTCATTTCGCTCATCTCTCTCGTCTCGCTCATCTCTCGTCTCCCTCATTTCGCTCATCTCTCTCGTCTCGCTCATCTCTCTCATCTCGCTCATCCCTCTCGTCTCGCTCATCTCTCTCGTCTCGCTCATCTCTCTCATCTCGCTCATCCCTCTCGTCTCGCTCATCTCTCTCGTCTCGCTCATCTCTCGTCTCCCTCATTTTGCTCATCCCCCTCGTCTCGCTCATCCTTCTCGTCTCGCTCATCTCTCTCGTCTCGCTCATCTCTCTCGTTTCGCTTATCTCTCTCGTCTCGCTCATCTCTCTCGTCTCGCTCATCTCTCTCATCTCGCTCATCTCTCTCGTCTCGCTCATCTCTCTCGTCTCGCTCATCTCTCTCGTCTCGCTCATCTCTCTCGTCTCGCTCATCTCTCTCGTCTCGCTCATCTCTCTCGTCTCGCTCATCCCTCTCGTCTCGCTCATCTCTCTCGTCTCGCTCATCTCTCTCGTCTCGCTCATCTCTCTCGTCTCGCTCATCTCTCTCGTCTCGCTCATCTCTCGTCTCCCTCATTTCGCTCATCTCTCTCGTCTCGCTCATCTCTCTCGTCTCGCTCATCTCTCTCGTCTCGCTCATCTCTCTCGTTTCGCTCATCTCTCTCGTCTCGCTCATCTCTCTCGTCTCGCTCATCTCTCTCGTCTCGCTCATCTCTCTCGTCTCGCTCATCTCTCTCGTTTCGCTCATCTCTCTCGTCTCGCTCATCTCTCTCGTCTCGCTCATCTCTCTCGTCTCGCTCATCTCTCTCATCTCGCTCATCCCTCTCGTCTCGCTCATCTCTCTCGTCTCGCTCATCTCTCGTCTCCCTCATTTCGCTCATCTCTCTCGTCTCGCTCATCTCTCGTCTCCCTCATTTCGCTCATCTCTCTCGTCTCGCTCATCTCTCTCGTCTCGCTCATCTCTCTCGTCTCGCTCATCTCTCTCGTCTCGCTCATCTCTCTCGTCTCGCTCATCTCTCTCGTCTCGCTCATCTCTCTCGTCTCGCTCATCTCTCTCGTCTCGCTCATCCCTCTCGTCTCGCTCATCTCTCTCGTCTCGCTCATCTCTCGTCTCCCTCATTTCGCTCATCTCTCTCGTCTTGCTCATCCCTCTCGTCTCGCTCATCTCTCTCATCTCGCTCATCCCTCTCGTCTCGCTCATCTCTCTCGTCTCGCTCATCTCTCTCATCTCGCTCATCCCTCTCGTCTCGCTCATCTCTCTCGTCTCGCTCATCTCTCGTCTCCCTCATTTCGCTCATCCCTCTCGTCTCGCTCATCTCTCGTCTCCCTCATTTCGCTCATCTCTCTCGTCTCGCTCATCTCTCTCGTCTCGCTCATCTCTCTCGTTTCGCTCATCTCTCTCGTCTCGCTCATCTCTCTCATCTCGCTCATCTCTCTCGTCTCGCTCATCTCTCTCGTCTCGCTCATCCCTCTCGTCTTGCTCATCTCTCTCGTCTCGCTCATCTCTCTCGTCTCGCTCATCTCTCTCGTCTCGCTCATCTCTCTCGTCTCGCTCATCTCTCTCGTCTCGCTCATCTCTCGTCTCCCTCATTTCGCTCATCTCTCTCGTCTCGCTCATCTCTCTCGTCTCGCTCATCTCTCTTGTCTCGCTCATCTCTCTCGTTTCGCTCATCTCTCTCGTCTCGCTCATCTCTCTCGTCTCGCTCATCTCTCTCGTCTTGCTCATCTCTCTCGTCTTGCTCATCTCTCTCGTCTCGCCCCTCTCTCTCGTCTCGCTCATCTCTCGTCTCCCTCATCTCGCTCATCTCTCTCGTCTCGCTCATCTCTCTCGTCTCGCTCATCTCTCTCGTCTCGCTCATCTCTCTCGTTTCGCTCATCTCTCTCGTCTCGCTCATCTCTCTCGTCTCGCTCATCTCTCTCGTCTCGCTCATCCCTCTCGTCTCGCTCATCTCTCTCGTCTCGCTCATCTCTCATCTCCCTCATTTTGCTCATCCCTCTCGTCTCGCTCATCCCTCTCGTCTCGCTCATCTCTCTCGTCTCGCTCATCTCTCTCGTCTCGCTCATCTCTCTCGTCTCGCTCATCTCTCTCGTCTCGCTCATCTATCTCGTCTCGCTCATCCCTCTCGTCTCGCTCATCTCTCTCGTCTTGCTCATCCCTCTCGTCTCCCTCATCTCTCTCGTCTCGCCCCTCTCTCTCGTCTTGCTCATCTCTCTCGTCTCTCTAGTCTCTCTCGTCGCGTTCATCTCTCTAATCTCTCTAGTCTCGCTCATCTCTCTCGTCTCGCTCATCTCTCTCGTTTCGCTCATCTCTCTCGTCTCGCTCATCTCTCTCGTCTCGCTCATCCCTCTCGTCTCGCTCATCTCTCTCGTCTCGCTCATCTCTCATCTCCCTCATTTCGCTCATCCCTCTCGTCTCGCTCATCCCTCTCGTCTCGCTCATCTCTCTCGTCTCGCTCATCTCTCTCGTCTCGCTCATGACTCTCGTCTCGCTCATCTCTCTCGTCTCGCTCATCTCTCTCGTCTCGCTCATCTCTCTCGTCTCGCTCATCTCTCTCGTCTCGCTCATCTCTCTCGTCTCGCTCATCCCTCTCGTCTCGCTCATCTCTCTCGTCTCGCTCATCTCTCATCTCCCTCATTTCGCTCATCCCTCTCGTCTCGCTCATCCCTCTCGTCTCGCTCATCTCTCTCGTCTCGCTCATCTCTCTCGTCTCGCTCATGACTCTCGTCTCGCCCATCTCTCTCGTCTCGCTCATCCCTCTCGTCTCGCTCATCTCTCTCGTCTTGCTCATCCCTCTCGTCTCGCTCATCTCTCTCGTCTCGCCCCTCTCTCTCGTCTCGCTCATCTCTCTCGTCTCGCTCATCTCTCTCGTCGCGTTCATCTCTCTCATCTCTCTAGTCTCTCTCGTCGCGTTCATCTCTCTCGTTTCGCTCATCTCTCTCGTCTCGCTCATCTCTCTCGTCTCGCTCATCCCTCTCGTCTCGCTCATCTCTCTCGTCTCGCTCATCTCCCTCATTTCGCTCATCCCTCTCTTCTCGCTCATCCCTCTCGTCTCGCTCATCTCTCTCGTCTCGCTCATCTCTCTCGTCTCGCTCATGACTCTCGTCTCGCTCATCTCTCTCGTCTCGCTCATCTCTCTCGTCTCGCTCATCTCTCTCGTCTCGCTCATCTCTCTCGTCTCGCTCATCTCTCTCGTCTCGCTCATCCCTCTCGTCTCGCTCATCTCTCTCGTCTCGCTCATCTCTCATCTCCCTCATTTCGCTCATCCCTCTCGTCTCGCTCATCCCTCTCGTCTCGCTCATCTCTCTCGTCTCGCTCATCTCTCTCGTCTCGCTCATGACTCTCGTCTCGCCCATCTCTCTCGTCTCGCTCATCCCTCTCGTCTCGCTCATCTCTCTCGTCTTGCTCATCCCTCTCGTCTCGCTCATCTCTCTCGTCTCGCCCCTCTCTCTCGTCTCGCTCATCTCTCTCGTCTCGCTCATCTCTCTCGTCGCGTTCATCTCTCTCATCTCTCTAGTCTCTCTCGTCGCGTTCATCTCTCTAATCTCTCTAGTCTCGCTCATCTCTCTCGTCTCGCTCATCTCTCTCGTTTCGCTCATCTCTCTCGTCTCGCTCATCTCTCTCGTCTCGCTCATCTCTCTCGTCTCGCTCATCTCTCTCGTCTCGCTCATCTCTCTCGTCTCGCTCATCTCTCTCGTCTCGCTCATCTCTCTCGTCTCGCTCATCTCTCTCGTCTCGCTCATCTCTCTCGTCTCGCTCATCTCTCTCGTCTCGCTCATCTCTCTCGTCTCGCTCATCCCTCTCGTCTCGCTCATCTCTCTCGTCTCGCTCATCTCTCTCGTCTCGCTCATCTCTCTCGTCTCGCTCATCTCTCTCGTCTCGCTCATCTCTCTCGTCTCGCTCATCTCTCTCGTCTCGCTCATCCCTCTCGTCTCGCTCATCTCTCTCGTCTCGCTCATCTCTCATCTCCCTCATTTCGCTCATCCCTCTCTTCTCGCTCATCCCTCTCGTCTCGCTCATCTCTCTCGTCTCGCTCATCTCTCTCGTCTCGCTCATGACTCTCGTCTCGCTCATCTCTCTCGTCTCGCTCATCTCTCTCGTCTCGCTCATCTCTCTCGTCTCGCTCATCTCTCTCGTCTCGCTCATCTCTCTCGTCTCGCTCATCTCTCTCGTCTCGCTCATCTCTCTCGTCTCGCTCATCTCTCATCTCCCTCATTTCGCTCATCCCTCTCGTCTCGCTCATCCCTCTCGTCTCGCTCATCTCTCTCGTCTCGCTCATCTCTCTCGTCTCGCTCATGACTCTCGTCTCGCCCATCTCTCTCGTCTCGCTCATCCCTCTCGTCTCGCTCATCTCTCTCGTCTTGCTCATCCCTCTCGTCTCGCTCATCTCTCTCGTCTCGCCCCTCTCTCTCGTCTCGCTCATCTCTCTCGTCTCGCTCATCTCTCTCGTCGCGTTCATCTCTCTCATCTCTCTAGTCTCTCTCGTCGCGTTCATCTCTCTAATCTCTCTAGTCTCGCTCATCTCTCTCGTCTCGCTCATCTCTCTCGTTTCGCTCATCTCTCTCGTCTCGCTCATCTCTCTCGTCTCGCTCATCTCTCTCGTCTCGCTCATCTCTCTCGTCTCGCTCATCTCTCTCGTTTCTCTCATCTCTCTCGTCTCGCTCATCTCTCTCGTCTCGCTCATCTCTCTCGTCTCGCTCATCTCTCTCGTCTCGCTCATCTCTCTCGCCTCGCTCATCTCTCTCGTCTCGCTCATCCCTCTCGTCTCGCTCATCTCTCTCGTCTCGCTCATCTCTCTCGTCTCGCTCATCTCTCTCGTCTCGCTCATCTCTCTCGTTTCGCTCATCTCTCTCGTCTCGCTCATCCCTCTCGTCTCACTTATCTCTCTTGTCTTGCTCATGCCTCTCGTCTCGCTCATCTCTCTCGTCTTGCTCATCCCTCTCGTCTCGCTCATCTCTCTCATCTCTCTCGTCTCGCTCATCTCTCTCGTCTCGCCCCTCTCTCTCGTCTCGCTCATCTCTCTTGTCTCGCTCATCTCTCTCGTCGCGTTCATCTCTCTCATCTCTCTAGTCTCTCTCGTCTCGCTCATCTCGCTCATCTCTCTCGTCTCGATCATCTCTCTCGTCTCGCTCATCTCTCTCGTTTCGCTCATCTCGCTCATCTCTCTCGTCTTGCTCATCTCTCTCGTTTCGATCATCTCTCTCGTCTCGCTCATCTCTCTCGTCTCGCTCATCTCTCTCGTCTCGCTCATCTCTCTC